CAGTTGCTCCCAAACTGACCTTATCTAATACTTTATTAAGCTTTACTTTAATTGTGGAGCCTGGAGAGCATTACCACGTTTACCCATGAACATAACCTTAAATTCTTAAATTTCTTTCTACTTTTTTGTAATTGTAAAAATTCTGTGGCATCCTAAATGTACAGCTGAAGTTAAGAGGACTCTAAAGTTATTTCATTTATAGCTTTAAGACCACACGAAATGAAATAGTTGGTTGGTATGATGGTAAGTTTTACTGGCATATATAAGAAAAGACACATTTACATCGTGCCAACAGCAATTTCATCTTAAATCCCCAATTAAAATGTGACTCTTTAAACTCCAAAAGCTCCATGTGTTGATGTAGCCATCTGTGTAATGACACAACTGCCACTGATTTGAGCGAAGATAATTATTACAATAAGAGCAGTGCTGGAGAAAGATCAACTCAGATCCCAGTTAGAATGTCAGTTAATTATGAAGAGATAATTAGAGGTGGGTAGGTACCATTATGTTATATACAGGTAAATAAATAGGTAATAAATATTCCCAATACAGGTATAGATCATGTGAATTGTATAATTATATCCATTTTAGACTATTACTTTAAATCTTCTGAGAGAGAGAGATCAAATAGTATATATATATATATATATATTTGCTGAGCTATCTTCAACCAGAGGAGGTGCCGTTTTTCATAAATTATCTATTGAATTCAATGCATTTGGTTTTTGCATCAAAATAGTCTTACCTCTAACTATTACATGAAAGCTCTGTGTTTTATGCCCACTCTTACAAATGTAAGAGGGAATCTTCAACACTCATTCCTGGTGAAATCTATGACTATATCCCCTAACACACTTGCTAATATGTTTTAGAAAGACCATACTGTGGTTACATTAGAATAAGCTCTCAACCATCAAATGTAATGAGGGAAAGGAGAGTTCAGATGAAGATGATTCTCAGAGCACATACTAAGTGCTAGTTTTAAATTTCTCTGTATATAATTACTTTTATAAGGAGAAAAATTGATTAATTTCCTTCTCACTATCTTAATGTTAGTACTTTTGAGTTGTTAAATGGATAGAAGCCAAATTATAGAGAATTTTTTTAAACTTTCATCTTTAATATCTTATAACCAAGTACTGCACACTTGAGCCCTGTGTGTATTGGGGAGCATTGGCATTTATTATTGGCTCATTAATATTAAAAGCAAAAGGATTTTTAGCATGATTATCTCACAGGAGAGAAAGAACTTCTCCACCTGGCTCCTGTATTCTCATTTTAGGCATGAAATTAAGTGTGATTATGTTTCATGTATAGTAATTTATTGACACTTCTGGCTGTATTAACATTAAAATTGTATTAACTCCGACTGTATCAGTTAAGGATTTGTGGCATAATTTAGATAAGTTACATTTTTGTCTTTGTGCTATTAATGAATATTGTAAATTTCATAATTTATAGAACTTATAGGAAAATATATTAAAGGACATCAACCACTTTAAGTGAAGGGTGCTAGGGAGATCCTGATATATTCTTTGCTAAATGCAATGTGTAGTTAGCTGTGATTGAATTCCCTTACAGGAATGTGTAGTATTTAAGAATTATAGATTTATTTAAACTCACTGGGGCCTATTAGTTGTAAAATATGAATGATAGTTTACTAGGGATCATAACTCTCAACTTATCCTCAGACTTAGATTTGAATTCATATATTTCCACCTACATTGCTGCATAATTGTGAGCAAGTTACACAATCTCTCAGAACGTCTATGTATTTTATCTAAAATGAGTAATATAAGTGCTTTTCTCAAAGATTGTTTAGTAGATTAAATTTGATAATAAATCTAAGCTTTTGATATTAATATCTGAATGTCCTAAGCACTCAATAAGAGTTAGGTATTACTAACACTTATCTAAAAATTATTTTAGGATGGTACTGTATTTCCATACTCAACATTATTGAGATGTAGTATATTTCTGTAAAAAATACATTTCAAATATATTTTTAGACTGTAATACAGATTTTGTGATTTATTCTGTCTTTTTCTCCAATGAGCTTGAGTTAATGATGATTATAATACATCCATGTAAATGACTACCTTTGTTCTGCTTATTTTTTAGTTGAAAACTATGGTTTGTTTATAAGGCTTTTTAAAAGAATTTTTTGTTTTATTAATGACAAATTATGTAAAAGTACTAAGTATACAACAGAATTTTGGGAGACATGAAACCTGAAAATTGGGAGACACGAAACCTAAGTTATAAATCTAGTTGAATTTGTCCTTTTGCAATTACTTGATCTACCTAGGTTTCAGTTTCTTGAAAGTTGAGGGAAGAAACTTATATTAGATGACTTCTATGACCATTGAGAGTTGTCATCTTATGATCCTACAATAAACTCAGAACAAATCTATTTTTTAAATTATGCTATTTATCTACGGGCAGTGTTGAATCAAGTATCTTTTCTTCTATTTTTTTTTCCCACTCAATAGGATAATATGCATGATTGCTTTATCTTGAAGTTGATTTTTAAAAATTAAGTTATCACATGAACTTAAAATGTATTTAGTTCTACTTAGCCAGGACATTACTCTAGTTTTTGAAAAGACGAATATAACACATCTAGGGAAGATTCAACTCTCCCCATCATCTTTTCTGAAAAGGAAATTACATAAATTTTTATGCATAACAACTGTTACTGCTTTAGTAGAAGTTAAGTAATAAAAGTTGCTTTTAAAAATTAAAAAGAATTTGAAGGAAATCCTATGAAATAATTTTAATTGAAGGGATATTTTACTTATGTTCTCCCTATTAAACAAATTTTATGCATTTAAGTTACTTGTGTGCCTATTGTTACAATGTAATTATTTAGTAAAATTCATAGCTTTATATATTCCTAATTTTGAATGGTGATAGCTGAAAAAGAAGAGAGGAGAATAAAGGTAATGAACCGAAATACGTCTCTCTGAATCCCTTGTGGCTATCAATAATAAGATTAGGAAAAGGAATGTTGTTGATATTTTATTTAGATTCTCTTGATTCCATCCCTGGAAACAAATGATTTAATAATGTAGTTTATAAACTGTCTCTCCTATTTGAATAAAGCTAACTACAATCAAATAATTTGTTTTATTTTTTGATAATGTAATGTTCTTATTCTCATTTTTCCTATACACCTTTGCCTCAAAAAATAGCTTAATCAAGAAAGATATCAATGAGTATCTAATTCCCATGTAGTTTGGATTACATTTTTGAGTCAGGCAGTGATCATCTTTTAATGAGACTGATTTTATAGTTTAATTTATTTGGCTTTGGACAATGTTTTATTTATACCTATTGAAGGAGAGAATGAAATGAAGAAGCAATATGAGTTTTGAAATTATAGTTACATCTTTATGGCAATTTCTTTTAGGCTTGCCTCATCTGACCCTCTTTTCTGTTCTAAATGCACAGTCCTGGCTTTCTAATTCCTTTTCAAAATGCTTATATTGCATTTTTTCCTGCCACCAACAGACCTCTTCTCTTCTCTTTTGCAAAAATAGCATTACAAATATTCTACTGCTTTATTGTCAAAGTTATGTAGCCATCATTTGAGATGTCCTATGGGGTTAGCAGAGGAGGATGTACCCTATACCTGTTCTACCTTTTGCCTCTAGAGGATACTTGAGAGGGGGAGTAGTGAGGAAATCTGCTAAGGCAGCTGCAGAAATTGCTTCCTAGTTCAACCAAGGTCAGAGCCTGGTCTCTGTCTACACTATACAAATTTAACTGTGAGTGTCTGTTAAAAGGATGTGGTCTGAATCTAGAGTATTATTTGAGATGTAGGCCCTGTATTCAATTTGCTGAGACACATTTTACATGCCAGAGTTGGTAAAATGAGTCATGTAAAAAAACAAAAAGGCATGTGTCAATTTGTTTAGAAAAAAATTCAAAATGTCTCAATTAGTTCAGTTTTCTAATAAATAGCATTCACACATATTTTAGACTGAGGCTTTGAAAACCCAAAGGTGGCATATACTATATATGCTCTATTCCCAAAAGATACATTTATTTCATAATTCCACATTGTTTTACTATCTCATTTGGTTTCATTTTGTTATTATCTATCATTTGCTTATCTTAATTTAAGAAACTGTTCTATATCATTAAGTATTTCATCTTTCATTTGGATGACTTTGCCTGTAATTATGGAAAAAAGAATGAAAATCTTAGTTTTTGTTATGATTATCACAAATGATATTGAGAGCTGCAAACAATTTATAGTTAATTATGAGTTTACTTGGAGAATTAATTACTTTCTATGTGGGCTATACAGAAGATGGATTTCAACACGTGCCTATTAAATTAATATTACTCATATTTTATAAAGAAAACAAAACATGCATATACATATAGGCAAACATATCTCACATCTAAAGAATTAAACCTTTAATATATCAAAAAATTTTTAGGACTGACTTTCTAGTTTTTAGTTATTTATATTTAAAAGCATTTTAATCACATCAATTGGGTCACACTGTAGAGTGTAAATATTCATAATATTTCATATTAAGATCGTTTGACATGGTCTGAGTGTCTGTTAGGTTTTGTTTAACTCTGTTTCAGCCCTGTCACTTGTTTTTGTTTTGTTTTTTTTGTGCATGTCATATGTTATAATAGAATTAAAGACCTTATTTTTTTTTTTTGCAAAATCCAGTCAGCAATTTTGCCACTGCCTGTTCAAACTCCAGCTTCATGGCCCAGGCTAGATACTAGTGAAAATGGATCTATGGGAATGAATGATGGATCTGTTTAGCAATGATAGCTTTAACCTCTAACTAGCTTTCATTTTTCATCTTTACAATTTCCATTTTCTCTTTCTATTGAAATAAGTTCAGTTGAAATAAATGGATACTCCTGCACGTGTTGATGATCCTGAGAGTTCTTCTGAGAATAGCACTAGCCTGTTAATGATACTGTTAATAATTTCTTCATATTTTTCTCTTTTTTTCTTTTAGTCTCGACCTATTCCTTCCCACCTTACTTCAGCAGTTGCAGAGAGTATCTTGGCTTCAGCTTGTGAGAGTGAGAGTAGAAATGCCGCCAAGAGGATGCGTCTGGAGAGACAGCAGGTACTGAGGCATCTAGAAGTCTGGTGTACACCAGCTATAGCAAATGCAGCTCATTTTGATGTATGTGGAAGAGTGAAAGCTCTTGAATGGATTTAAAGTACACAGAGATATAGTTTTTGTGTCTTTATGATATGAATTTAACCTTGAAAATGTGTATTCATGTGCTCAGTGAAGGTCAAATTACAAAATATTTCTGTGGTGAAAATGAACATTTGCAAAACTAACAAGTAATAATTCTGTTTAGTATCCAATTTCAAGACCAATTACTTATTAAGAGGTTCTAACTGATCATTTCCAACACCTTTGTAATTTACCTCATCACTTATGAGGGTGACCTGATCACATTGATTTTGAATGAAAATGAACCAACCTCTCTTTAATTTCCTCCGGTCTATTATCACATGTCAATACCTGATGCCAGAGGTGTTGACAGTACAACCCAACTTTGAAAGGCTAGAAAGTCACAAAATGAGGATATACATAATAAAAATCCATGCCTTAGGCTTACTCTGTCATTATTAATCATTTTATTTTATGCCAATTGCATGCTATGCTATAGCTTCTCTTTTTGAGGGTGTCTGTGTAGTGTAGATGTTTACATTTTTTGTACTTTGCTCACTGGTGTTTCCCTCAGTACTTCCCTTGGGTTATCTGTATATTTCTGTTTCTCCTTCATATCCCAAAAATGTTTTTCTCTTTTTCTGTCTACTTCCTTTCTTAATTATCCATAGTAAAAATCTAAATTATCCCACGATATACTAAGTAGTCTGCATAAAATTTTGACACATTTTCATTTGTAAATTATTTTTACAACAAGTGAATCATATGCTTTATATTGCTAATTGAGAATGAGATGAGTCAAGACTAAATTAAGTTATTCCAGTTTTGTTTCCGCTGTAAGCCAGTGGACTTCAAAGAAAAAAAGCAAAAAATGTTTTTTCATTCCAGGCTTAGAATACTTTAACATGTTTTACAATGACGTCAGCTTTGATTTGATGTGTTTATTATTAAAATGTCATGTGCTAATAATTCTAAATGCTGCAAAAGATGAAGCCTTCAGTTAAATGAGAAAATACAGTATTAGTCTCAGATAAAACTATGTGAAAATGTCAATTTAGAATTTGTCAATCATGCCACCAGTGTTGATTCACATGTGCGTGCCCCTCTGTTGAGAGTTTTATCATTGTCATATTTATAAAATATATTTTATACAATGAGTTATAGCACTATATATAATACCATCTGGCATAGTGATTAGGGGAGCACGTCCTGGAACTGGGTTTGAATCTCATTGCCACCTTTTCTAATTGTGCAAACTTCAGCAAGCTATTCCAGTTCTGTGTGCTTTGGTTTCTCCATATGAAAGACAGCAGTAGTAACAGTATTCAACCTATGGAGTCGTTATAAGAACCTTAAATGACAGAATCATATTATGTACTTAGTATTTTGCCTGGTGCATTAGTAAGCACCAATAAATTCAGTCTAGAAAAGACTTTGATGCCTAGCTGTTTTGTCATTGCATTGGCATCAGTTAACTAGAAAGAAGCATTAATACTACTACCTCAGATACTGGAGTTTCAAAGTCAAAGTCCACTTGAGAGCAGATGCTAGTTCTAGATATTGGAATTGTAGAATTCTGAGACTGAAGGGTTCTCCTGGTTGTTTTGTTATCTAGCCATATATCCTACCTACTCTACATTCTAGAATAACCCTATATAGTTTTAATCATATGTGTAGTTGTTTTAAGAATTAAATGACTTATTCATGTTATATACTATCTATAATGTCACTCTATAATATTCTCCAAAGCTGTTCATCAACGGATATTTGATCTAGTCACTTAACTACTGTTGGCCTATTCTGTAAAATGGGAGATACAGATATCAGATTCATAGAGCTATTGTGAGGAGTTAGTAAGTCAATGCATATAAAAGCACTATGTATTTTATAAGTTTATATATTATTAAAGATACATTTGTCATTTGCTTCAGTATCTCAAATCTCACCCTGGTACTAAAGATCTGCCATTTACTAACACACTTTCCTACTGTCAGAGATTCAACGTTGTTTTTGAAGGTCTTTACTTGAGCTCAACTTTACTTCATAGACTTTCTACCCACTGAAGAAAAATTTCTAGAAATAATTAAAAATGAGACTTCCTACTCTTGCTCCAGGAGTAGAGACTGTAATGAATGAGGACCAATGGTCCTTGGCCCTATTGTCTCCTTTTTATATGCCCTCATATATTTATTGCAAGCCTCTGTTATCTAGGAATGGAGGATGCCCAATATTATCTCCACATAGAAAAATATTATTTTCAAACCCAAAAGGATTCAAAGGGCTTTGGACTTGTGGGGAATAATGAAGAAATCATTTTTCAAATTTAAACTCTAAGATTTACTAAAAACGTATTGGACAGTTTCTAGATACAGTTTCATTTACCATTCTCAACAACCCCATGAGAAAAGGTATTATTATTCTGATTTACATGTAAGGAAACTGAGGCCCAGAGAAGTGAGATGATGTGTGCAAGATCACCAGCGCACAAGAAAGCCAGAATATGAGTTTATATTAGATAAAAGTGATGCCTGAGATCTTTTCACAATCTGTAATGCATTTTCATGTATTATCTTCATGGAGGAAAAACCCATAGACTAGAACAAACATTTAGAACTTGTATTATTTGTGCCTCTGTTTACAAGGTTTTGGCAGTGTAGTTTTCTTCTGGAAAATGATTTACTTTATTTACAAAGATATTGTACTTTACCATAACTAGCAATCTAGATTTCTGGATATCATCCTAAAAAAGGTTACTAATGTCCCCACGTGCTTCACTTCATCTGGAGAACTGTTTATACACTGTAAACACTAGTTTAGTGTTTGTAATTAGTATCTCAAAAGTATGTAAACTATTTTTTCTTGCTATAAATTCTATAGAATTCTTCAGCTATGCCATACAGAGACTTCTACCAAGTGATTCTACCTCCTACCAAAGCATGGAGTTGGTAGGGATCCCTCTATCAATTGAATCAAAACCCCCTTTCCCCAGCTAGAGAGAGCCAGAGTTATTTTGCATGTTGGCAAGGAGATCACCCTTCCTGTGTGCATTCTTAACCTGCCTCAAAATTCTTAAAATTTTCCAGTGACTCAGAGATTCATCATTGTGCCCCCAATTTTCTGTAGGTGCACAAAAGTGCAAAACGGGAACACTCAAAATTGGCTTTCCGTTAAGCCTCTCATCTGACCACTTGCTGCCAGTGGTTAGCCACATGTGGAGATGTAATTATGTGTGTCTTCCAGAGCTTATGAAGCTCGATGAATTAATTGGATTTCATAAAGCTCTTTGAGTTATAAACATGAAAGGTGGTATGGATGTGTTAAATACTTTATTCCATATGTCCACTTTGTACCAAAATCCAGAGGAAGTTTGTTATTATGCAGCCTCAGCCCTGAAGCAAGCCAGTGGCAAGGACAGGAGCCTGCTGCTTCATCAGAAATCAGATTCTGCAGAAGTCCATTCCCAATGTAGTTTGGTATATATGTAGCATTTTTCTTTATTTAACATAAAATCTGTATTTTTTATATTATCTGGGAAATTCTTCTTTACTTTGATAATGCAGAGGGGCAGCCAGACTTCACATTTAGAGTTCTATGACATAGCTCAAATTTTGTGGGTTCTTTTCTCTGTGTCTTTATTTAGTAATTATTTCTTTTTCCTTAAAAACCAAAAGGTCTTATTGGTTACATTTCATTTGAAGACAAAGAGGCAAAAAGTAAGAGGGATTAGAACCAGCTATTTGTTGGTGATTTATCTCCTACCAGTGTATGATTTTTGCTGGTTTTGAGGGATGACATACATTTTAACAGGCTTGATGACTGATTAACGTAAAAAGTTTCTGGATAATGTGAGGGCTTCTTTGTTATGTTTTCTGCCCTTAGTACTTTTAGTTAAATTAGTTTGTAGTTCTATAGAAGAGATCACTTAAAACCACCCGTTAAGGGCTTCCCCAGCAGGAGCCCAGCAGTTACTGCCTTAGAAGGACAAAGCAGGAATGCTGAGTGACAGTTTTTACAGCAGCTAGGACACAGGGGAAATCAATGGTTGACTATGATGTGACACCTTTGACTCTATTGAAAAGAACACAGTGAAGGAAAAGGGGAAATGGCATGTTACTTACCTGTGATATAATACAAGATCAGGAAGAAGAAAAATAAAGTACTGAAAACTTACACATCACTAAGTTACCAAAAAAAAAAAAAAAAAAAAAAAAAATCACTGCTAATATAAACCAGCATGAACTCAATGGCCCAGGACCTAAAAATACTTGGTAACTTTACAATTCTTGCTACTGTTTTTTCCCTTAGTAGTGGTGAATTCTTTGTCATCTTTATCTCTTCATGATTTTTCCTTTTTCTCTTTGGGTACTAATGAATTGGAATATTATTAAAAGAAAAGTAATGGCAGGTGCAAAGGTTGAAAATGTAGCCACATAAGCATGGGGACAATTTTATTACAGACATTTTTTTTGAAAACTATCTAACACACCATGATTAAGACATAGTTTTTGAGAGGCAGCTTTTCTTTCACATTTCATTCTATAGTTTTATGTCCTTTGGATAACATTTATAAACTTTAATACCTAAGTAAAGACAACACCTTTTAATAGGACTTTATTCTTAAATTTAGACATTGTGATATTAACAAGATTTGGCTTGAAACTTATTTCTATGGCCTGCCAGTCCACATCCTCAGCTTTTTGCTTTACTCCTGGCATTTTTCTTTCTTGAACATACGTTAGGGGGGGAAACCTTGTATTGTTGAGTTTCTTAATGTGCTTCAACATGACACTTTCATTCATAGAAGAATATAAACTATATAGAAAAAATGAAGTACAGGCATTCCTCATTTTATTGAATTTCACTTTGTTTTGCTTCACAGATATTGCAATTTTTTCAAATTGAAGGTTTGTGTCAATTCCATGAGCAAGTCTATCAGCACC